ATGTCATCTGCATAAAGATGGTAGGAGATTCCTTTGATGGAGCTCAGAATGTGCTGAAGAGGAAGCAGACAGAGGAGGTAGAGCAAAGGACCCAGCCCAGAACCTTGTGGGACACCATGGGTAAGAGAGGTGGTGGAGGACCTAAACTTGGAGACGGCCACAGAAAAGGAGCGCTCAGAGAGATAAGAGGAGAACCACTCCAGAGCAGATCCTGATAGGCCTACCCAGCCTCTCCGCCTCTCCAGTAGCAGGTGATGGTCAACAGTGTCAAAGGCTGCAGTCAGGTCCAGCAGGACCAGAACAGAACAGTCCCCTGCATCACTGTGAGACAGAAGGTCATTAGAGACCCTAAGAAGAGCTGCTGCAGTAGAATGAGCTCTACGAAAACCTGACAAGAAGCTATCATAGATGTTATGTTCATCAAGAGCAGCTGTGAGTTGTTTAGCCACAACCTTTTCCAAGATCTTGGAGATGAACGGAAGTTTAGAGATGGGTCTGAAGCTGCTATGGAGAGAGGGGTTGAGACTCGGTTTTTTAAGAAGCGGGTGGATTACAGCGTTCTTAAAGTAAGCAGGGACCTGACCAGAGACCAGAGAAGCATTAATTATAGAGAGCACGCTGGGACCGATGGACTGAAAAGCACTTTTAAACAAAGATGAGGGTAAGATGTGGAGGGGGCATGCAGAGGTCTTCATAGAGTTAACTAGTTTGGTTAACTCAGGCAAAGAAACAGGGAGCAAAAATTGACCAATTCTTTTTGCTATATATATGCTTCCAATTGGTTAAAATCATTAGACAGCATGGGATAAACTTCCACTGTTATGCTGACGATACTCAGTTATATTCATCCATTAACCCTGATGAACCTAATCGGTTAGGTAGATTACAGGCTTATCTAGAAAAGGAAACTGCTTAGTCAATCACCTGACCTGAATGGCATTAAATTAGTCTTGAGCCCCCTTCAGACAGACCATGAAAAACGGAAATGTTCCGGTCTCTGTCCGTAAGACCTTTGTGTCTGAATACAAACATCCGGATAACGTTTTCCGTAATTAACCGGATGACGCCCCTAGTAACAGGTCTGGACTTGTTACGGACAAGGTGGAAAGGTGAAAAGACAAGTTACGGTACAAAAGTGGTGTGTCTGAAAACACAGTTCAGGTTAAAAAAAATGGATTGAATTGTCCACACATATTCCAGAATGTCTATCTGAAAAGGGCTTCAGAGAATAAAGTAAGGAACCTTGGTATTATCTTCAACCTGGACATCTCATTCAAATCCCATTTTAAACAGGTTTGTAGGATTTCCTTTTTCCTCCTTCTCACAAATAAAGGTCTTAACAATCAATCTCCATCATACATCAGTGACCTGATTGTTCCATATGTTCCTAACCGAGCACTTCGCTCTCAGACTGCAGGTTTACTGGTGGTTCACAGAATATCTAAAAATAGGATAGGAGGCAGATCTTTTAGCTATCAGGCTCCTCTCTTGTGGAACCAACTCTCAGCTTTAGTCCATGAGGCAGACACCTTGTCTACTTTTAAGAATAGGCTTAAAACATTTTTATTTGATAGGGCCTATGGTTAAAATCTGATGTTAGCCTATATCTGGACAATTGGGGGAGTAGAGGGAGGTGGAGTGTACAGTCGGTAAAGACGGCTCTCCCTTGCCCTGCCTCCATCATGCCTCCATCTAAAAGGCTAGGTTATCCAGATTTATCTCTGTAGTAGGGCTGAAACGATTCCTCGAGTACCTCGAATAATTCGAGTACAAAAAATCCTCGAGTCAAATGCACACGCATTTGTTTACTGTGAAGTAAAGTTGAAGTGCTGAAGTTAAGCAAACTTTCTTTTGAATAAAACTTGAAGAATAACTGGCAATTGCTTGCTCATTTTGAGAGGTCTTTCATATTTTATAACATGCTATTTTATATAATGGTTTACAAACACAAAAGGGTAATTTATTAGAGTACTCGGTTAATCGAAAAAGAGATTCGATTGCTGCAGCCCTACTCTGTAGTTATGCTGCTATAGGTTTAGACTGCTGGAGGACACACTGACCACTTTCCACACCCGACTACTTTCTTCTACAATCTGCTCCTTAACTGTATTATTTCCTGCAATTTCAACTGTTAACCTAAGTGTTTTTCTCCCCAGAAGAAGCTACAACGATGTTCTGCTGAGCTGTGGTGGCCTCATGGAGGGGGCCATCGGCTAGCACACTGCTGCTAACCACTTAAATATTCTCCCTCTCCTGATAACATTTTACTCTCTTTGATAATGAATGTGCTACTACTAGTTTAGCCATTTAGTTATAGATTCACTAGGATAAATACAATAAAGTTTACCTCTTACTAAATAGAACATTTACAAAGAAATCACAATGTAACCATAGACACACTACTTGGTATATATATATATATATATATATATATATATATATATATATATATATATATATATATATATACATACATACATACACATAGTGTGTGTGTGTGTGTTCTGTCTTCTCCATCCCCAGTGAGTCATGATGGATGGCTGCTTAAGCTTGGTTTATGCTTGACGCATTCACTTTCCGCGCGGTGATGCGGCTCGCGGATGGAACGCGCTTCACAACTCGCAGCGTTTATGGTTCGTGCGGCTCGTCTCTGCGGTGAGCCAATATTCTCCCAAACTGTAGGGGGCAGCATGGAGCTCTACGGCGTGCACCCAACACTACACCATAGTAGAAGTAGAAATTACTGTTTACAACATGGCATTTCAGCATTTTTAACAGCGTCCTCGTCTTTTCCGACAGTGCGAGCTATTTCTCTCCAAGAATTATTAACAACATGTTGATCACGGTGATCTCTGAGAGCTGAATCATACAAATGTCTGTATTTACCAACCTCTGCCATACTAGTTCTTGCCGGTCCGCCATGTTTTTCTGCGTCCGACCGTCCGCGTGGTTAGAAATTTTCCTAGGTGCGCGTTGCGGAAATTTTGGGCCGTGCGGAGACGCGGTGGAGGGGCGTAGTTGTTAAAATGACGCAAATTTTCCACGCGGACCTCACGGACACGTCAAGCATAAACCAACCTTTATACTGAGCCAGGATTCTCTGGAGGTTTCTTCCTGTTAAAAGGGAGTTTTCCTCTCCACTGTCGCTGCATGCTTGCTTAGTATGAGGATTGCTGTTAAGACTCTGACACTAGTCAGTGACTTGATGTAATCTGCTGGGATCCTTATATAGGAAACTTTTTACTGATAGACTTAATGAACTGACCTGTATTGGATTGTTTACTATGTGAAGTGCCTTGAGACGACTCTTGTCGTGATTTGGCGCTTTATAAATAAACTTGAATTGAATAGAAAAATCAGGACAGCACTAAAGAATAAACATTTCCTTCAGCCAACAAACCTCAGTAGACAGGGCCACAAAGCTGCTGCCGAAAAGGCCAGAAAACAATGCAGACAAACAAAAGACACAGGAACAGACACAATGTTCCAACAGGAGACACGGCGTACTTAGAGAAGTCCTGTTTGGATGATAAGGATTTTTAAATAATGAACAAAAGTTTACTGTTTTCCCCCAAAGGACTGTAACTATCAGAGCCTTTGATGTTTGTAAAATCATCAAAAGGCATCAGAAGCAAAGCCTAGTCTCTGCACATCCACTCATCTGTCTAACATGGATTCAGAAAAAAGTGTTTATTCTGGTATTTCCTGGAATGTAAAAGGGCTGAGCAGGACACACACTTCGCCTAAAATGAGCACGAAACTGCAAACATGCTCAAGCATGGGTGTCTGACCATCTAGCAAGTGCCCACAAATAACCCAGTTACACTCCACCCAGACCACAGCAGCATGTTGGAGCTGTTGGTTAGTTCCAAAATCAACAGCAAACAGCACAAATGTGCACTGTTGCAAACACAGTTATGGTCAGGTTGTGCTTCCTGGGTCGTGAGCCTACAAAAGCTGTCGGACTACTGCAGCGACAAGAAAAACGCGTCTGACACCTCAAGGAGGAGCGAGTTTCACCTTCTTCTGGCATTGATGGGTGCAACTGAATGTTTTTTTCCATTATAAAACACAAAGCAGGTTCCGAATGCTTCACTTCCACTGAAAGGCAGCCTTTAAGAAAAGTTAACAGGCTAAAGCCAGTCCCACATTAATCCCAGTGATGCCACTCACCCGTTTGACCAAATACATCAACCTTCATCTCACAAAGCCCCCGGTGTGTTTTGGGTCGTACAGATCAGAGTAGAGGCGTGCAAAAACTAAACTAAACCACACTATTTGTCACTAAAACAGAGACTCGGGAACACCTCCTTCAACAACTATGAAATAAGGAACCCACCACACTGAGCCACCTTGGCCAAGCACATTCAGCAGAAAGTAAACAGAAAGAGGGATGACCTGGAGAAGCAGAGCATATGCTCAATGCCACCCCCCCCCCCCCTCCAGTTTATAATTTCAAAATCAAGTGACCTGTGAATTTGAAGTTCACACAAGTATTTCCCAAACACCACAGCTGATGGAGACATGTTTCTGGTTTTACTCCAGTCAGTTCAAACTGCAAGTCCAACATTTTCTCAGACAAACAACAGGAAGGAAATGTGAAACACACACACACACACACACACACACACACACACACACACACACACACACACACACACACAATTATTTAAAATATGAATGAATACATGGCTAAGTTGGAATCTTGTCGCTTTCTCAGTAAAGAGATAAATCACACAGAAAACACAAAACGCTGGCTGGTCGTTACAGTAAAAGCGGAGTCTGGGTGGGTCATCCGCAGGACAAAAACAGGTCAGCAGCCACGCTTTTCTGCATCCCTCTGGACACACACACACACACACACACACACACACACACACACACACACACACACACACACACACACACACACACACACACACACACACACACACACACACACACACACACACACACGAGGCCGTTTATGCAAATGCAGGCACAAAAGCACGCAGACTTACTGAGCATCCATTCATAAAGCCGGCTGCAGCTCCTTGCCGGGCCCCCAGCGGGTCGATGGTAACAAAGGAAGCGCGTTCAGTAAAGTAGGAGACCTCAGGCTCAGATCTGCTGTCGGTGCAGTTCGAGCTCGTGTCAGCCTTTGTGCTGGTGGAGAATCACACCAGCTGCTGCCACCGCATCCTCACAAACGAGAACTCACAGAGCCTCCTGCTGTGGTGAGAGTGAACACGCCCTCCTTCCATGTGTCCTTAAAGACGCAGCCGACCGCGATGACGCCATCACGCAGGCAATCAAACATGCGGAAACCCATGCCCGGTGTTTCACCCACTTCATGATGTTTCAGACAAAAATGAACTTATTAAAATAATTTTAAACGTGTATTTGTTTTATAAAAAACTATCACGTGTACCCATGTTAGGATAATGCACAACCACTGTATCACATGTTCTGATAAATTGTAAAAAATCAAAATAATAATGTACAGTCAGGAACCTTTCAGCCATTTTCAAACGTGTCTGTAAAGGTTTCAACTGTCCAGCCACCTCTTCCTGCACAGCCTCTGTTTAGAGAGAACCGAGCTGAAGACAGCTCTAATTTCCTTGAAATTTTGTGCAAAATTTGTTTTACAACCCTTTTACTGCATCAGTTTAGCGTATGGCAGAAATTTGGGCTTGGCTGTGATCCAACTAGATGTTAGTTGATCAACCCTGAAAGACAAAAAAAAAATCAGTTTCTCCAAATAGAGATTGTTAAAGCAGCACAATCCATCCATTCCCTGAATCTATTTAACTCAAAGACTCATAGTAAGACTCTTAAAGGACTTCAATAGAGTATAGTTTAATTCTCTTTAGGATCAAATTAAAATAGTTTGATAAACTGCTTTTAATTAAATAATCACTCTGCTTCATTTTTACCACTGCCTTCCAAATATTTATGGTGAGGTTAAAATACTGAGGAGAGCTTCACTAAATTCCTTAGCCTACTGTCTGGCAACACAAAAGGCTTTAATGAATGACAGTGTGATTGTGTGTATTTCATGACCAACCAAGCAGGCAAGACTTGCATCAAAAGTCGGGGGGGGGGGGGGGGGGGGGGGGGGGGCACGACTGTGAATGGTTGACTAGTATCGGGGGATAAAAGCCAGTCTGACTCTGACTGAATGACTATGGCTTTATCTGTCAAAGCACTTTTTCAGTCACATAGCTCCATCACATTTCTGCCCTTGGCTTTGTTTCCAAAATAGTTGGAAGGTAGTCGACGGGACAAAATGGCTCTGTATGAGAATTTGAGCGCAGTGGCATTTTGTTCATGCTCATGCTACACTTCGTGTTGAAGTGATTCTTTTGACATACTGAACAGACCTCTTTCCCTATATACACTTACAGGCATACAAAGTTTAGGCGTGCTTTAACACCCCCTAGTGTCTGTCATAAATCACTGTCATAAAAAAAAACTTTTCCTATCGTTGCTGTCCCCCCCCCCCCCCACACACACACACACAATGTTTTCAACACCAGGGGCCTCATTTATCAAGCTTGCTTACGCACAAAACGGGGGCGGAAAACTGCGTAAGCAACTTTCCATGCAAACTTTGGGATTAATGAAAGAAAACTTAATGGAAAAATGTGCACAACTTTAAGTTGACTAAGAACCTGGCTTATGCACATTTTGGACATGGAGAGCACCTGCAATGCTGCTGCTGAGAAGGATACACTTATGAATTCCAGCAGCATGATCACTTGTAATGCTTCGTACACACAGAACAAGCAAGAATCACTGTATGGTGTTACATAATTGGCCTTACTGGGTGTTAATTTTGACAGGCTGCAGCAATTAGTGTGAATACTGAGTAGACATTTGTACCGCGGATACACTAATCCGTAATGTGTCAATCAATCAATCAATCAATCAATCAATCAATCAATCAATCAATCAAAGCTTTATTTATAAAGCGCCTTCCACAACCCTGTCAGGAAGCCCAAAGCTCTGAATGTGTCACAATGGATGCGCTGGCATTCCTGGATGACTATGCCAACGGCAGGATCTGGATGGAGAGAGTGTTCAGAGATCACACAGATTTCCTGGCACATGATGACGACTGGCTGATCAGCAGATTTAGATTCCCCAGAGCCCCCCTCCTAAACTTCTGTGCTGAACTGGAGCGACCGACCTGCCGGACTCATTCCATTCCAGTGCACATCCAGCTGTTGACTACTCTTGGGTTCCTGGCAACCGGCTCGTTCCAACGAGTTGATATTATTTTAATTACTGCGTAAACTATGTATATGATGTTACGGGTGTAGCGGTACGCTAAAATTGTATTCAGTTTTGTTCACTGTTTTGAAGAGCTTGGTTAGATACATTTTCGGTACATTATTATTATTTATTATCTGAAGAGGCGCCTATAGTGAGCAGAACCAGGTGTCATCACATGCTGCTGATCTAGCATAATGTCTTTAATTATTTCACAGGTTATGTGTGCAGCTATGAGAGTCATGCTCATACAGAAGTGTTGTGTTTGACTGTTGATGCTCCGTGTTTTTATTTCTGCAGCGAGCCGTAAAAACTCCCACACACGTCCAGAGTTTCTTCTCTAAAACTCGTATAAAATAACGAGCTTCCTCCGAGCTGTATCTATTGTTGTCAGATGAAAAATTTACATCAGTTGTCCCAGGGGAAAAGTTCAGCAGACGTGTTTGATTACATTTTTCCCACTGTGAGAGAAGGGAGGGAGGGGAGACGCTGCATTCAGCATCTCTACAGGCTCCACAGTAGCAGCGACAACCAGCTGGTTTGATCCGCTCTGAAAGTCGTTGATCAGAATTTGCAGATCACATTTTTTTAAAAGGAGATCAGGCGTCACTCAGAAACTCGCCTTGGAACTATTATCCGCTACACCTAAATCACACGAATGAAAATTCATTATTTTACAGAAAAAAAACCCAAAACATTACACAAGTGGACCGAACCGCTCAGATATCCTGCAGGAAAAATAACCTGGCAAAAGGAAGAAATACAGACCACAGATGTTAAGACACAGAAGCTCCTAACCATGCATGGAGGGTTCATCCCAAATCCAGCACCCTGAGACTGCACACTAGCCATAGGGAAGGAAGCAGAGGACTAGTGAGGGTGAGAGCCGCTGTCCAGGATGAATTAACCAAGATCCATAATTACATCAAGGACAAGGCCCCAACAGATGACGTGCTCAGTGAATGTCTCAGACAATGTCAAACAGAGGAGGAGAAATACCATCGTGGGAGCATAAGCCCCTAGAAAGAGCTGGTCTGAAGGACAGCACAGAGGCACTCATCATAGCTGCACAGGAACAGGCCCTGAACACCAGAGCAACAGAGGCCAAGACCTACCACACCAGACAAGACCCAAGGTGTAGGCTATGCAAAGATGCCCCTGAGACAATCCATCACATAACTGCAGGGTGTAAGATGCTGGCAGAGAAAGCTTACATGGAATATTACAACCAAGTGGCTGGTATCGTGTACAGAAACATCTGTGCAGAGTATGGACTAGAAGCCCCAAGGTCAAAGTGGGTAACACCCCCGAAGGTGGTTGAGAACGAGAGAGCCAAGCTCCTGTGGGACTTCCAGACCCAGACTGACAAAATGGTGATGGACATGGTGGTGGTGGACCAACAACAGAGGACAATTGATGTAGCAATACCAAGTGGTGCAACATCAAGAAAAAGGAACACGAGAAACTAGAGAAGTACCAGAGCCTCAAAGAAAAACTTGAGAAAGTCTGGAGGTGATGCCCATGGTCATTGGGGCACTCAGGGCAGTAACGACAAACTGGAGGAGCGGCTAAAGCAGATCCCAGGAAAGTCATCGGACATCTCAGTCCAGAAAAGAGTAGTTCTAGGAACAGCTAAGATGCTAAACCCTCAAGTTCCCAGACCTCCCAGACCAAATTTTCCAGTTTTTTGTTGGAAATGATGCAGTTTAGTGTCACATTGCACTCTGAAATGAAAGCATAGTACAAATAAGCAATTAGAGTTAAAAAAGAAATCCTGGAATCAATTTATAGACCAAATTGTGTTCTAAAATTTTGACTCATTAAAGTAGCCACCTTTGGCAGACATAACAGCTGAACACACTCGTGGGATTCTTTCTACAACAGAAATCAAATATTCTTCAGAAAGTTCTTCCATATCTGCTGCAGAAGTTCCCATAAATGTGTGGCACTAGTAGGTTGATTTGCTTTCACTCCTCTGTGCAGTTCATCTCAAAACACCTCCATGGGGTTTAAGTCTGGAGGCTGTGCTGGCCTCTCCATGTTTACAAACTTACCATCTTGTTCTTTTTTCCTGAGGTAGTTCTAGCATAGCTTGGACTTATGTTCTGGGTCATTATCTTGCTGTAGGATGGACCCCTGACCAACTAGGCACATACCAGAGGGTACTGCATGGTGCTGGAGAATGCTGTGGTAGATGTTTTGGTTCAGGGTGCCTCTCACTCTGTACAAGTCACCGACCCTGGAGCCAGCAAAACATCTCCAGACCATCACACTTCCTCCTCCATGTTTGGCAGTTGATGCCACTGGAAAAAAGGCACAGGGGTGAACATTATTATCTTTGTACCTTAGACTGAGGACTGCCCCCACACCACTATCCGAGGCATCCACCTCCACAAGGAATTGACGATTTGGGTCTGGGGAGTGAAGCACCGGGGCAGTGGTGAAGAGTTCTTTAAGCGTAGCGAAAGCTTTGCCTGCGTGGTCATTCCAATTGAATCTGACCTTGGTGGAGGTGAGGACATGGAGAGAAGCCACTATCTTGCTGTAGTTCCTGATGAATCTCCTATAGAAATTAGTAAATCCAAGAAACCTCTGGAGGTGTTTTCTGTCACAAGGTATCGGCCAATTAATGACAGCTGAGACTTTGTCAGGCTCCATAGATATCTGGTTAGGAGAGATGACAAAGCCCAAAAATGAGATGGTGGAACGGTGAAATTCACATTTCTCCACCTTGATGAACAGGTTGCTCTGCAGGAGCCGAAGGATGACTGCTCGGACATGTTTCTTGTGTGTCTCAAGATCTGGAGAAAATCTAAGCACATCATCGAGGTATATGAAAACAGATTGTCCCACCATGTTTCTGAGAACATCATTGACAAGTGCCTGGAAGGTAGCAGGGGCATTATTGAGTCCGAAGGGCATGACCAAATATTCATAGTGTCCTGTAGGTGTATTAACTAATTCGCTGTCAGCCGTTTCCTGATGGGTAAAGCCCTTCGCTGCCAGCGTTTCTCACCGTTTTTACAGTTTTTTAAGAGTCACAGAACGTTGCATGCTAGGATGATGTAGACGCAAAAACAAACAAAACAAAGCAGAGACTCA